TTAAGCAAATAGCCTCATGGCAAGCATGCTATCATGGCAACACTCACACTTATGCAAGAATGCTAAAGTGGAAACACTTACAGTTACTCCAAGCCAAAACAGAAGCTAGTTAGAAATCAATGCATGATCCTAACTATACAGAATGCCTAATGCAACACATGCAAAATGCAACTAAATAGGCTCGGCTTATCTAAGATGGCATATGAATGCAACACTTGATAACATGCTTTGAAACACGTATTCAAGTAAGTGTATTGAAATATAATGCAGTTTGAATGATGCACTGAGCTCGGTGCATGCAATACAAATGAATGATACACGCATGCAAGCATAAGGATGCTAATTGGAATATGCCCTAAAATAACCATCGAAAGCTGATAAGTAAAAGGGAGAAAGAAATGCAGTTGGAAGACATGCATAAACACACGCACCCTTATTACAACATTTTGGCCTCTCAGAAGAGGGTTCGAATAGATAGGCTAAGCTATGCTAAGCTAAGCTACTTACTACAAATCAATTAACTACTCTAGCTAATTAATTATTACAAAATCGAATTGAATAACTAGCTACACTAAGCTAATTAATTACAAAATAAACTAAGCTAAATTAATTACAACACATGTAATTAACTACAACTAGCTAATGAAGCAATGAAAATGGCCTCGCAGACGAGGGAGGCATGATTGATTGGTCGTGTCCCCCCGAAAATCCACTAACTTGACTCTAAATGCCTCGGTTTGCACTCTTTTGATTTCTGAAAATTGTGACGACCTCCACATTGCTTCTATTTGATCCGAGGAACATGCTGATGAACTGATCGGCTAGAAGTGATGGCCATCGGCCAGTATTGGTGGCCGGTCGGCTAGGGCATGTGGCTGGTCAGCCACTGATTCCTGCAATTTCTCATTTTGCTGCAATAGAGCACAAACAGAGGCATGACAATGTATTTGCAAGGAAATGTGTGTGCAACTACCCTCCTTATCATATCTCAAGCTCAAAGGAGCGTAGTACTCGACTCTCAAGCCAGCAACCATGCATCTGAATGCATGATCGCCAAAGGGTCAAGCTTGCACAATGTTAGTGAATGCACACATAAGACTCTAAGTGTCGTCACCTTATCATGCATGATCAAGGGTGACAACGACCAAGAAACGTAACACGATTCATCACTTTGAGTATGAAACATGCCATATTTCTAGTATTTGGATTAACGTCCGATCCAAACACATGCAATGCAACATACATATGTTATCTTGGCATGTTTTACTTTGCTCGATTCTTGTTTACACATTTTACATTACCAATCCATTCTTTAATTGGTTAACTCCAATATGCAAGTCCTCTAAGGAGTGGAGGTCAACCAAAAGAATGGTTTAAGGCATAGGAGAGACCATGCCTTTGACTAGGAGGAACCCTCAAAAGAGGGTTAAAGCCAATTAAGCATGAGCCTCAATCCGAAGCTCAAACACAATCTCAAGGCCAAACAACCCTCAAATGAAATGAAAGAATGAAGAAATGAGGGAGGTGGCAGATGTTTAGTGCTGAAATGGCATGCTAAAGACCTTAAAGCATGCAAGCAATGCAAACATGGCATGTTGAGGACCAAAACATCAAAGCTAGTAAAGAGCAATACACAAGAGGCATGCAATACATAGCACAAATGTACAAACCAGCCATGGACAGAGCTCAATCATGCCAAAATAATGGTCTAAACATGCTGAAATGGGAGCTCAAAATACTAGAAGAACATGCACACATGTTGGCCTATAAGCAAGACATAATACACAACCCTCAAAAGTTATGAAGAAGTGAAGTATATGAGAGTGTGACTACACTATATGCACTGAAATTATATGCTAAATGGTGCCATACCATGCAAACAACTCAAGCAAAGCATGCTAGAGGACTCAAAACACAAAGCTATCAAAGCCTATCATGCTATAGCCATACAAAGCAAGCCTCAAAGGGCCAAGACCACTCAAAATAGAGTTCAAGCATGCTAAAATATGAGCAAAAACATGCTAGAGTGTAGCCAAAATAAGCTAGAATGATGGGCTAAGTAGCAAGCATGCAAAGCTAGTGAGCAAGGTTACACTACAAGTGCAAAGAGCAAGCAACCAATGATCAAACAAGCCAAAAATAGAGTCATGGTAGGTCTAAAAAGTCATAAAAGCATGCTTGAACAAAGCCACAAAGAAGTAAAAAAACCTGCTCATTTAGTAGGCCATCAACACATGCAAGCAAGACAAGAGGAGAGGGGACCACCCCCTCCTATTTGGGACCTCAAAACCACCTTTCCATGACAGAAATTCCACTAGAATTCAGTGGTTAAAAGGCCAAAAAGAGATAGTTTGAATAGCCTTAAAAGGTGGTACAAAAGCTTAGCAAATAAGCAACCAAAGAGGGTAGACCACCCCTAACCCCAATAAGGACTCAAACCAACATTTTTAACATTTAAAAATAGAGCTTTTTGTAGTTAACAACCAAGCCTAAAACAGCATGCAAAGGTGGCTAAGATGGTACAAAAGTAAGCTTAAAAAGGGAATATGCTCACCCTTGAAGCATAGCAGCAAGAGGACAACTTCTGGGCTAAAAACCAGCTTTGGAAGGCCCAAACAAGTCTTAAGGAATCTCAGCTCCAAGGTTAAGATGTTTTTCTAAGAGGGTTGTGTGCCAATATGTGAAGAAAACACACTTTCAAGCTCAATATAGCACAATATATATATATAGAGAGAGAGAGAGTGGGAAATTTCAGCTTTGAAATTTTGTCACCCTCAAATAGGGGGAGGGAGCTCCCCTTATATAGAAAATGCAAGCAAAAAGCTTGCTTCATCCCTCCATATGTGTATGGAGGATGAGCTCAGTGTTCAACAGCTAGAACAGCTGGCACAAAAAATATATGCAAAAGCAGAAAAATGGTCTTCGGCCAAAACTTGTGGCCGACCGGCCATTAAAGAGGCCGACCGGCCATCAGTAAGGCCGACCGGCCACCACTAATGGCCAATGGAAGCAAGGCCTAACCGATGGGTTGTAGGGCTGGCTAGCTGGCCACCCTCTTTTCCCAGAAACAAAGATGCAAGTCCTTGGTGTACAACCAAGCACAAAATAGACAAGTCGAGAGGTCCGAAGGCAAGGAACTCTGTCAAGAACTTCAGGCGCTCTAAACGAACACGAGCATGGATGATCATCGACTGTTCAAACAATGACGTCTAAGTCTTGAGGACGGTCAAAAATGGGGTGTCTACACGACGACGTCGTTTTGAGTCATTGCAATAAGTAATGCAAGGAACCAGTACAGAGGATTCATACTCAATTATCTCTTGCAAGGATTGTGTCAATAAGTATTAAATTACGAGTTTAAATGCTTTGACTTTCCCACATTACACGAGTCTTGTTAGCAACTTTATTTTTTTGGTTAAGAAAAATGAAAAAAAAATTCTTCAAAAATTAAAAATTAATTAAAAAAAATCAAATACCTAAGTTATTAATTATCTTCAATGCAACTAAAAAAAGTCGTCATCAAAGACATTAGCCTTTTTTTTCACTTTAATATATATATATATATATATATATATATATTAAAAAAGTCAATTCTTAAACAATTTCTAAGCTGTTATTATAATTACATTTTCAGATAATTTTTGATTTTTTTTTCGAGTTCCCTGTCTTTTTTTCTATAATACATTCCATGGAGTTGCAAATAACACATATATGATTGGGAATCTTTCATCTCGGTCATCTTTGTCTTCAATCCAATAACTCATAATCAAAGTGATAATTCATGTGGCAAAAATAATAATTTAAAATAGAGTAAGACATGAAAATGGAATTAAGGATCCAATTCCCAAATGCATCATCTTCAATGTGTCTATCAAAAAAATTCACAATAGAGCCATGTTCACATTTAAGCTCACATTCATTTTAGTATGATTTATAATCCAAGCAATTTAAGCTCACATTTGTTCGAGTTTTCATATTCAACATTTTATAGTAGGGAGATAGTATTCATGTTCTTGTTCATATTTTGTTATATTATACAATATAAGCAGAAGCGTTCTTAAGTTTATAAACTCAAAACTCTTAACCTTATTTTTTTAGATTTTTGAATTAAAAAAAATATAAAATCACATGTGTCATGAAATCATTGGCCCTTTTATTTTAATTACAGTTATTGGATCTTTCATTATTATAGTGATCAATAATGTTTGGGAGCTCTAATTTGAGAGCTCTAATGCAATTGTAATGATGTTGAGAATGCCCATGTGAAGTTGGGGCCCAGACTCCTCTCTTTATCTTTACTTTTTCTCTTTCACTTCATTAGAGCTTCCATTAAAGCTACTATTTTAGACCTATGTATCACTTTATAGTAATATATATCAAATTCCTTAATAATTATTCTCCTTTTATTACATTGATATGGAAAATAAATTTCAACAAATTTTATTTGTTTCCTACAATGATAAACATGATGTCAAGACATGCAATACATATACCTACTTGTTAGAATGGTTGATAGAGAGGAAAAATTGTGTATCTGTATTATTGAATTGAATAGTTCATACAATAGGAGAAGCCTGTATTTATAAGCTCAAAAGAAACCTAGATAAGTATAGAAGGCGATAGACATACAAGGAGATAAAGATAGAGATACAAATAGAGAAGTATAATATAATATACATTAACAGCTCCCCTCAAACTCAAGGTGGGTAGGCATCAACCAACTTGAGTTTGGAAACTTGATCACCGAAACGACGAGGAGGATGAGCCTTGGTGAAAATATCTGTAGGTTAATCAGCAGAAGAAATATGGAGAAGATAAATAGTGCCACATGTAACATGCTGTCGAATGAAATGAAAATCAATCTCAATATGTTTGGTGCGATCATGGAAGACATCATTGTGAGCAATCTGAATGGCACTCTAATTGTCAAAATAGAGAGAGGTAGCAAAATGGGAAGAAACACCCATATCAGCAAGGAGCTAGCGAAGCCACAAAAGTTCCTAAGTAGTGTCAGTAAGAGCGCGGTATCCAGCTTCAGTACTAGAGCGAGCAGTGAGGGACTGTTTCTTGTTGCGCCAAGTAAGAAGATAATCCCCTGAGAAGAAGCAGAAATGTGTGGCGGAGCGTCGATCAGTAAGATCCCCAACCCAATCAACATCAAAAAATGCACGAAGCTCAAGAAAAGAGTGAGTAGAGTAGTGGAGTCCATGGAACATAGTGCCTTTGAGGTAGGGAAGTATGTGACGTAGAGCAGTATAATGCGGGGTATGGGGAGCCAACATGTACTAACCAACACGATGGATAGCATAAGCAATGTCAGGACAAGTCACAATGAGATAGACAAGACTACTTACCAACTGGAAATAAAGAGTAGAATTAGAGAGAAGATCCCTGTCTAGAGGAGTGAGATGATTCTGAGGATCAACAAGAGTAGAGGTAGCCTTGCAATTGGTAAGATCAGTACATGCCAGAAGATCGGAAGCATTTGGCTTGTGACAAATAACAACCAGTGGAATCATGAGAAATTTCAAGCCCTAAGAAATAATTGAGAGTACCAAGGCCCTTCATCTCAAATTGATAATTGAGAAATTGCTTGAGACTAAGAATACCAGCTACATCATCACTGGTTATAATCATATCATCCACGTAAACAAGAAGAAGAGTGGTGCCATGAAGAGGTGAAGTCGTAGTCATGAGCTGAAGGTGATGCCGAAGTCATGGATGGTGGAACTGAAATTAGCAAACCAAGCTCGTGGGGCTTCTTTGAGACCATAGAGAGCACGCTACAGTTTGCAAACCTTATGAGCTGGATAAGCAGACCCAAGAGAATGTTACTTGTAGACTTCCTCAAGAAAATCACCATTAAGGAAGAGATTTTTGACATCCATCTGAAAGAGATCCTAGTGGCGAGCAGCGGAAACAACATTTAAGCTGCATACAGAGGTAAGTCGAGCAACCAGAGTGAAAGTCTCCTCATAATCAATGTCATATTCCTGGGTGAAGGCCTTTGCAATAAGATGGGTTTTGTAGTGCTTAATATAGCCATCATAATGGGTCTTAATTTTGTATACTCATTTGCAACCAATCCCAGTCTTTCCAGAAGGAAGATCAATAATATCCCAGATATGAGTTTTGTCTAAAGTCGGTAGTTCATCAGTCATTGCTTGTTGCCAAAGAGGATTAGTACAAGCCTCACGATATGAGATAGGTTCAAAAGTAAAAAGGACAGTAGACCAGGCAATATAATCATGAAAATAAATAGGTGGTTGAGTTACCCGATGTGGATGACTGGTGAGAAGAGCTGTGAGGGGTAGTGGACCATCAGGGAGAGCAGTCTGGACAGGATTAGGGGTCAGCAAAGGTGTCTCTACAAATGAGAAACCTGCATGAAACTCATTGGAGAAGAGATCTATGGAAGGATTAGTAAACATGATGGAGGTAGAGGGTATATAGCGATCCCGATTTTGACCCCGATTCTTATGATATCCTGGACTCGGGTTTAATTCTTTCATATTATTGTTTACCACTTGCTTCCCTTGTATCTCTTTGAAATTTGCTTTTGGGTTATTGTGGTTGCATTTGGGCAGGTTAGTCGCTTGTTTTTCAAACCTTGTGTTGCCTAGAATTTTGGTCCTTTGCTCGAGCGGCACTTCTTACGCTCGAGCGATCTTTGCAAACTCTCAGTACCTTTGTAGGACTACAAAACTGTTGGAAGAGGGATTTCTACACTCGAGCGGCGTTTCCTAAGTTTGAGCAGGTGGGCGCACGAGCGGCCTTTCTTGTGCTTGAGCATTGGCCTGTTGTCTGTAAAACTACTAGATGTGTGTTTTCTACGCTCGAACGTCACTTCTTGCGATCAAGCGGTGAGTGTCTTGTTCATTATGTCTTGGCGCTTGAGCAGCCTTTCTTGCACTCAAGTGGAACAACTTATTATGTCTGATGCTCGAGCATCAACTCTTGCACTCGAGCGGATAGTGTGTATATCAAATTGCGAAATTGACTTTTTACATCACCTTTTTTAGATCTTTTCTCCCTAAAACCTAAAGTTGTGACCCTCTCTCTCTAAAACACACACACACACACACTCCCTCTACATTTGCACCTAGTTCTAGTGATTTCTTCACCCTAATCCCTTTGATAAAAAGGTAGACCATCTCAAGATCTCCATTTTGATCCGAATAGAGTTGGATTTGGGTATCTTTGAAGTTTCACTCTTGCTTGGCTCGTCTTCTCGCTTTGAGGTAGGGATTTTCTATACTTTCATATGATTTTTATCTTAGTTATTTGTTGTTGTGTAACAGTGGTGGGATTTGGGAGTATTTTCAACAAACCTAGGGTTTGGTTGTTAAATAAAAAGAGGGGTTTTTGGTGAATGTGAAATAAATGGGTATGGAGTTTGAATATGAGGTTATGTTGTGTCAAAATAGTTAATTCTTAGATTGATATATGGAAAAATGGAGTTTTTCCCTAAATGGGTCAAATTGTTATTTTGTACAAATAACTAAAATTCATAATGATAATGTGCAATTGGATGATTATTAATGTAAATGGTGGAGTTGGTCACGTGTTGTCTCTCACCTATGAAAATTTGAAAAATTTATCTATTGAGAAGACTGTATATCTGTATTGGGCTATCAGTGGAGGATAACTATGACTGTTGTAAAAAATGCATGAGAATTAGGTAAATTAAAACTAATCTAATGTTGGTTGTCATTGAATATGACTATGTTTTTAAATACATTGCATACATATGTTGTTTGGGAGGAGAACGGGGACGTACTCCATTATTTGGGAGGAGATAGGGGATGGACTGCATTGAAATTAAGTTGGCCAGAGTGTCCAGGGTGAAAGTCCCAAAATCGTATGAATGCATGGTTGCCGATCCTGCAGACAAAATTTCTGTAAAATGGCATATTAAAGTGTTTGTGTGGTAATTGTGTTGATTAGAGGACCACTGAGCTGTAGTATCAGTTTGGTTGTCGAAAGATAATGAAATTGACTCATGAATTGAGAAGAATAAATGAACTTGAAATGAATTGGAGGAAAACGAATTGAAATATGAACTTTGGTGCTTTACAGTTATAAAAAAAAATGTGGATATTTTGTTACCAGCATTGTATATACAAATTGTGCTTATATCTTTGTTAAATCTCATATATTGTGTTAGATTGTTCCTACTGGGCTTTGACTTGCCCTATTTAGGAAAACTATTTTTAGGTGTTGATGTCATGCCTCCACCAAGGCAATAACTTGGAGGGACTTTTGGGAGCAAGAACTTCTTTATTTTGTTATATTCTTTTTGTATAGACAAGGGGTTAAATTATATTGAGATAGGCTCACTTTTGTGTAACCGAGCAATGACTTGGAAAGATGTAAGCCTATAGGGTAGATGACTGTATGTTTAGTTTTAATTCTCTTAACATTGCAACATGTGTTGTAAATTCAGGATGAACATTTGTAAATGTATATCGCATGTGTTAACTTTTGTAAACGAACTCTGATGAATGAAAACATATTATTTCTATTATTCTTCTGCTTTAAGGATTGGATTTATTGTAATAATTTGGGGGCATTACAACTTGGTATTAGAGCGTACCAAGTTTGCATACTTTGGGTACATGAGAAGTGGTTAGTACCATAATGGGTTTTTCTCGCTTGATTGAGACATTAGTATGCATTGTATGCTTATGTGATAACATGCTTATATGATTATATGGGTATGGGATTTTGTTCCTACGATATTGAGTGGGTCTACGGGTTTCTGGAAGTCCTACTAAAAGAGCACTTGATCACTGTTGTTTCTAATTGGAACTCTAGCAACGCTGCCGGACAGTTATTATCTAGGAAGGAAATTTGTATGTGTTTGTATGATTACGCACTTATATGAAGTGATTTACTATTATCCATCGCATTAGGACACGAGTGAGTTAACTTCGGCATATTTATAAATGTGCTAATACCTTTTGTTACCTTGATTAGGACATTAGGACATGGACGTGGACGTTGTGGTGGTAGGTGTGGTAGGCCTAGAAGGCATGAGATGCCTCTACCGGATGATATTCTAACACTGGTAAAAGGTGTTGGTCAGGCCAATGTGGTTGAATTGGTTGGTCAACAGGCTATGGGCACCTTAGACCACGAAATGGACGGAGCTTTGCGGAAATCTGTAGACATTTTCAGGGCTGAGAATGAAGTCCAGGCCCAAGTCGCTAAGGCAAGGCCATATTTTCTAAAGATGGAGTTTTTTCGGTCGAATCCGAATGAGTTTTTGGGTGATCGCAAGGAGGCACTGAAAACGGATGAGTGGCTAGAGCAGATGGTGAAGACATTTGAGATGCTCAGCGTCAAAGATGGGGGTTTGAGAGTGACCTTGGCATCCTTCTAGCTGAAGGGAGACATGGGTCAATGGTGGAAGTATGCACGATGACGCATTGGAAGGACTTGGGAGGCTTTTGTTGACGCTTTCCAGAACAAGTTTTTGCCTCTCACTGTTAGGGAGAAGTTGAGAGACCAGTTCTCTAAGTTGATGCAGTTGAACACACCAGTAGCTGAGTTTGAAGCCACATTCACTAGCTGGCCAAGGTTTTCACCGGAACTTGTGGCGACTGAGGAGCGCCGTTGTCTGGAGTTCGAGAAGTGGTTGAGGACCGGGCTCATGTTCAAAGTGGACGTGTCCATGATTAGAGAGTATGGGTACCTTGTGGAGGCAGCATCCCATCTTGAGACTATCATACAGGTAGAAGATGAGGGAATGAGGGACTTCAACAGGAGCCAGGACAGTCATGGGGACAGTAAAAGACAGAGGGGTTCTAACCCTCAGTCGTCCCAGGGAGCTTAGCCGAGGTCCACTTTTCTAGTGCCAAGTTCGGGTTCTAGGAGGATTGGTCAGGGAGATTTTACTTGCTTCAAATGTGGTCAGTTGGGCCACAAGTCTCCAACTTGCTCGCAGAGAGGAGGAGGGCAGTGAGCAGCATCGTCTTCGGCTCGTTCTTTAGGCCAGAGTCAAGTGAGAGGCAAACCGCTCACTTGTTATCAGTGTGGGTAGGTGGGGCACATGAAGAGGTGTTGCCCTCAGTTGGGTGGCATATCTGGTGCATCTAGTTCGAGGCAGACACAGTGCCACCAGCTGTCACAGTTAGCATAGGCCTTGAGGGCTAATCAAGGAGCCTCCTTGGCTCAACTAGTTCATCAGGCATATGCTCCAAGGGGTGAACAGATTGAGCAGAGACCTATGGAGCGAGTATATGCTGTTACAATGCCGGATCTAGTACCAACACCTTCTGTAGTGGGAAGTACCTTCTAGTTTTGCAATTCAGTTACTAATGTGGTAATTGATACGGGTGCATCCCATTCATTTATTTCGTCTGCATTTGCATCGGTTTTGGGTTGGAGTTGGCACAGTTAGCATCTTCTATTTGTGTAGAGTCACCTATTGGTGGTGAGGTTATCTTGAAACAAGGGTGTCGGGGTTGTGACACCGAGGTTGCCGGTCGCCGATTACCTTTTGCATTTTTATTGCTTGATATGTCTAGTTTTGATGTCATCTTGGATATAGACTGGTTATCGTCATACCGGGCTATTATAGATTGCTACCGTCAGAGGGTTACTTGTAGCACGCGCCCGCGAGGGGCCCCGCTATAGTTCGGACTCGATTTTGTGTCACGGTTCTTAATCTTGAACCAAGGAGTCCAAAT